CCTCCTGATGCTCCAGAGAATTCATGCATAGTCTTCTACCAAGTGGGAAAGAGGTACTCACCAAGTAGCTATGAGGTGGGGACCTGACTACTTAAGTAGACTTTCCACCAACACTATTGTAGCTACTCAGCTCCACTTCCAACGTACCTGATACCCCCAATTCTTAAGCCTTTTGAAGATTTGTGGAATAAATTTGGTTAATTCTCAGCCTTTCCCACTTTTGTCTCCTTTTGACCTCTTTCAGATTTTGTGAGTTTATACCTTTTCAGAAATCCTTTAATTCTCATTTTGGTAGAGTTTTGGGAGGGAGCAAACCAGATACTTGTATTCAATCTACCATCATTTCCCAGAAGTTCATCTGTTCTATTTTCCAAGCCCAAAGAAATAGGGGAGAGAGGAAATGAGGTAATTTTCAAGCATAAAGCAGAAGGGCTTTCTTAGACACCCTTTCCCTTCACCCTAACTGATGGTAAGTCTCTTGAACTATCTTAATTTAAACTTCTATCTTCCCTGACACAGGCAAACTATTCCACTTGGTACCAATTTCTCCTGGCATGTAATATAATACATTTGAAAGCAAGCAACAGAAAAGTTGAATTTACTAAGTACTTCCATTGGACTGTTCCACTGTACTAGGTGCTGTGGCTGGATTTGTAGTGGGAAGCATACTTTTCATTTTGGAATCTTAGAAAAAGGAAAATGAATGGGGAAAAAATGGAGGCCATAACGAATGTAGTACGTTTTACTGCATTACCTTGTGGACTTTTTTTTTTTTTTTTTTACTTTTTCAGGACTGTTATGAATATTTTCTTTTTTCAAAATAATGTGAAAAGCTTAAGAAAACATTTTATTTTTGAACATGAAGATATATTTAAAACTATATAACATATAATACGGTTATAATATCGAATATAATATGTTATAATACATATTATTAATATATGTTTATCATGTGTATTATTTGTTCAAAATACATCTTCTAGCAGGGAAAGTTTTGAGTTCTTTTATCAATGTGTTAATAATATTTAGCAAAAAAAGCCTTCTACAGAGGAAAGTCCTGGGTCAGTATATAAGAAATAACGTTGGCCTAAGAGTCAAGAAACTTTAACTTGAGAGGAAAGGCGAGAGGGAAAGAAAAGGGAAGAAAAGAAGAAAGAAACTTTAATTCTAATTCTGGCTGGTATTTATCAGGTCACTACATCTTTGAGTCTCTCATTCATCAGCAATAAAGTGAAGTTTTTGTTTCAGTCTCTTCACGCCCTAAAATCTAAAGGTTCAAATTGGTTCTCTCTTTTAGAATGCCATGTGAATGCCTTATCTCAGAAGAGAGCTAACTCGGTTCTCATTTACTTTTATTACAGACAAGATTCCTTTGCTAAGCAAAGAAAAACTACCCGTGGTAGGAATTGGAAAGCATCTGTGTGGTGTGGCAACAGGTACGTAAACATACTAATGATGTTTACATACTAGACAAACACATTAAGTTTTAGCTTTATATGGTCCCAAACATTGAAATAGTCTCTTGAGTAGTTTATACCACTTATGCTTAAACTCATTAATTTTCATAGTAGCACTGGCCCTGTGTTATATCAAATATAGCATTTTCTTATTTATCTGCTCATTTTGGCCATTTGACAGGATGAATTAAGAGTTTTTTGTGTAAATACTGAGTCATGAGACTTTGGGTTATATTTCAACCGAAAAGGAAACAAATCATCTATGGAGACTGTATAATTCCACCCCAGAAGCTACTGAGTTTTTTGTTTTTGTTTTTTTTAATTTTTTTTTTCAACGTTTATTTATTTTGGGGACAGAGAGAGACAGAGCATGAACGGGGGAGGGGCAGAGAGAGAGGGAGACACAGAATCGGAAACAGGCTCCAGGCTCTGAGCCATCAGCCCAGAGCCTGACGCGGGACTCGAACTCACGGACTGCGAGATCGTGACCTGGCTGAAGTCGGACACTTAACCGACTGCGCCATCCAGGCGCCCCAAAGCTACTGAGTTTTTTAAGGAGTTGCTTGGGAAGGATTCTGAAACCTCTCCCACCAGAAGACGGTTATGTACCAGGATTCTGGGGAAAATGAAAAAAGAAATGCTAGGTAAAAAATCTAAGATCTTATCTTAGCGCTTAGATCTGTCAGGTGTAGCATGGTAAAGTAGAAAGAGCATCGGATAGTCTGGGATTCAGCTGTGCTGTGTAACCTTGGCAAATTACATAACCTTTCTGAGCTTTGGTTATCTCCTCTGTAAAACAGGAATAATAACATATAACTTACCAGGTTACATGTGAATATCTGGCGCATATTAGTATTCAACGAGTGTTAACTACTGTTACGTCTTCTTCCTGGCTCCTGCTGATTTCCTCATCTCCCATCCGGGGATCTTGGAGCCTCCATAAAATGTTACTCAATTTGGCCAGAAATGGCTTTGAATATTGTATATCTGTGTTGTCCTTAATAGTTTTTAAGAGAACTTTCACGTACCTTATCTCATTTAACCCTCAGAAAAGCCTCTAAAGTAAGCCAACTCTATCCTGGGGAGGAATAAAAGCACCCTCATTTACTCTTACCCATCTAACTCAAGTTTCTCCAAAGTATAATCTATATTGGCCATTTTTCCTTGTTCCACACACTTTCCCCTCTTGATTCACTCTATCTGAATTCTCCATCACTCTACTGTCTTACTGAAAAATCTCTGCTGCAGTTGCTTGCCCTTCTTAAAATTGTTTCCTTCTCCTTTGTGATTCTTCTTTCCTGATTCTTCCCCTACATCTATGCCATTCTTTCTGGTTTTCTCATGGTCACCTTCCACTGCCTGTTCTTTAAATACTAATATATGGACCCATTGGCTGCACACCTAATATGTCTTTCCCCTTAAAACTCTTCAATGGTTCCTAATACCTACAGCTTAAAGTCCAAGCTCTTTAACAGGACAACCTGCTGTCAGTGTGGCCTCTGCCTTCCAGCCTTTGCTAGTTCCTGCTTGCCCCTTTACTGGTCAGCAAATTAAAAGCCTGTATACTTTTCCCATGTACTGTACTGTGTCAATTTCTAATTTCCATAGTGTTTATCATCATTCCATCTGCATATCTCTACCTTATTGTGTTTCAGTTTGTTATATAATAGCTAATTTAGTTAACTATGTTTAATTCTCCCACTGGACTGTGAAATTTTTGAGCACAGGGAATGTGCTAACACAATGGTTGGCAAATAATAGAAACAGTAAGCATTTGAGTGAATGAATAATCTTGGCCACCACTTTGCTGTGTGTTCTTGTCCCTTTCTTTGGTGTGTGGCTTTGTCCTTTAAGTTCTTTGTAAAGCAGAGGTTGAAATAGATTGTTAAAGCTACTTCTGATTCTAAAATAACTTCATTCTTTTAATAGTTTTTCTGGGTATTCACATTTCTGAAAATCATTTACTTAGGTCTAATACAAATAAAACAGTGACTGAATATATTTTGTCAGGAAATAATAGTTTATGAAATAATAGATTAGCTATCCCTTTCTCCCAATAATGTTTGTCGACTTAAACTCATATATTGAATTAAATTTACTAGTAAAAAAATCACTTAATAGTCACTGGTGACATCTTAGGGTAATACAATTTTAAAATATTTATGTTTCTGATTGACTAAGCACAGCATGCCAGTCTAATCAGACAGAAAATATGGGTTTCACAGCATAATTTTGGGGTCTTTCCAATATTGTCATCAGTATAGTGGTCTTCAGTGGGAAATAGTCTTACTCATCAAAAATCTATTTGTTTAGCTTTTAGGTTTAAAATTTTCATTTTAATTGGGAGTACATTCACCTCTAAGTTTATGTGTATAATCATCGTTACATCGCAAAGCTTGCACACAAAAGGTTCTCAGTAACTAACTGCTGAATGAATACATAAATACCTGTAAGGCTGCTCAGTGAGGCCTACTTTCCACAGTCTGACTCCCTCTTCTCAACTCTTCAGATCAGCTTTTTCTGTGAACACCTTACATTTCAGGACTCACACCTAACATTAAATCTCACCAGATGCCTTACCCCTCAATTTTTTTCTTTGGGTTTCTTAAACTCAAAACTTTCCTGGAATGTAAGTGTAGATGAATAATTTTTTTCTGTACAAGTCATTTCCTCAGCTAGAGCAGGAAAAATGAGAGCCAGTTTAAGTAGTTGGACTAAAAGTTTTTACAAACTCTAGATCTTAAGCTTCAGACAGTTTTGGGGGGAAGTAGATTTTATGCAGAATAAGTCACCAGAGAAAATTAGATGCTAACAAGAACACAGGAAACATGAACAAATTGATAATTCATGGATGAATTATTACAAGTATAAACCTAAGTAGGTTTTATTGTTGGGATTTTAGAAGCCATACTGCTGAATAAATGTAAAAAATACTTATTTTTAAAGATGATGTGGTTTGGGGGGCCACATAATTGTGTTTGCAGATCTTGCATTACGATGTTTGGTTGAAACCTATGCTGCCAGTTGTGAGGAAAGGAATGAAGAACCTTTAGCCAAACGCAGAAAGAATGATAAAACAGACAAAGAAATTAACCCTTTGGCCAAGGAAGGAAATGAGAAAAATGTCCCAGAGAAGTGGACCCCTGTGGCTGGCATTGTTATTGCACTCTGTTGTCACCACAGGTGTGATTGGAGACATTATGTGGGCAAAGAATATTTCAGGGCTCTAGGCCTTGGAGCAGTGGATTTCCACTACTTCCAGCGAATGAGTAGTTGGGCAACTTGTGGGATGCGAAAAACATCTTTGGAAGCCTCCAACGTGACCTCAAAGAGAAAAGATAAGCACAGTGATGACAGTGAAGAGCATGACGATGGGGGATGCAGAATCACGGACGACAGCACTGAGAGTTTGCCTGGGTAAGTGACTACTTTGAAATGCACAACACTAAGGCAGAAATGTTTTGTTATTGCTTCAGGTTTTTTTTAGATAAATGTTACCAAGAATCTATTGATGAAGATGCATTTTACCATCCAATTTTAGAATAAGTTAAAATACACTTTTATTGTGGCATAAATAAAATGTATCTTGGAAACATGGAACATAGCACCTAGTATATCATGGGTTACTTAGCAACTTTTATCAATAAATAGAAGTGACTACAATAATTTTTTCATAAACTCCTACAAATTTTAATGATGTTTTGTGTTTATTCGATTTAGGCTCCTTACTGTTGAAGAAAAGAAGAAAATAGGGCATCTTTGTAAATTGCTGATTGACCAAGGCCGAGTCGAGTATTTACAGCAGAAAGGTTTCAGTCCTGCTTTACAGTATTATACAGATCCTCTGGTGTCTTTGGAAAATGTATTGTTAACTGCTTTACCAAATCATTCTTCATCACCAGAAACAAGTGCTTAATGGAAAAGAAATTTTGAACATCTGTCTTCCACCAAAAAAATTTTTTTCAATTGTATTTTTATATTTATGAAAATATAATTTACATAGCAGATAATGTGAACTTTAAAAAATGTTGTAGCCTCATTGAACTTTGGTAATAGCTTTGATTTTTACTTTAGAAGTACAAACATTGAGTTCACCAAATTCCCAAAGTAATTCTCTTCAGCAGGGCATCTTGAGTTATATTATCCATCAGTATTCATAGAGATTGGTAAAGTAGTTGAACGGTTGACTTGGTTATCTGAAACACACATAACATATCAGTACACAACCAGCACACTAACTTTCTATTTGTATTAATTTTGGAAATTTTTTTCCTTGGTTTTATTCACTGCTCTTTAATTCTCAAGTTCAAGATGTAATGATCAATCATCAGTTCATAACAAGGGCCAATTTGAGAATTTGGTTTATGTATGGATTTTTTTGTCCATTTAGATCTGGTAAGGATAATCAGTTGTGATTTTTTTCTAATGTAAACAAATTCAGAGATGTTCACAATTAATGAATTCACCTTCCGACTTCCAGAGCCATACCTGTATTTATGTATTAGCTGCATTTATCCATGACAAACAACAAAACTAAAGAGATGTTTTCAAGGGAAATAAGCTATTTCACTTCATTTTTTAATTGATTACCTAGTTAGAATTTCCAAAAAGATAAGATAAACCTCATTCACAAATTAAATTCGAATTTGCAGATAACTTCTGAAGTTAATTAGCTATCATATCTTTTAACAAGGACAGTTTTATACATATAAGTACAGCTATAAGTATATTCTCTCCTTTTGGGGAAAGTAATTTGGAATGAAGTGGAAATTAGATAATGAAACCAAAAACAACTTCACATGTAGGCCTCATTTAACTCATAAGCAGTTTCTATGCACAAGCAGATATTAAACTGAACCTATGGTAAGGACTGTTACTCTCTTCATATTATTCTTGAATTATTTCTGCCTTTACTTGTAAAAATTGTCTTAATCATTGGTACCTTTGCCAAGACAAAGATCTGAATTACTAATTTGAGATCCTATAATGATATTCTTAGGTAACTTTTTTATCCTGTAAATAGATCTATGATTACATGAATTCTAAATTAGAAGCCTAGCCCATTTTTAATCCCTGGCCTTTCTACTTTAATCTCTTTTGTTTTCTGAGACTGCCTAGATTCAGATCCTACCCTACCACCTCAGGGTATGACCTTGAGCAACTGCTTAATCTCTTTGTGCCTCAATTTTCCTTTTTAAATGAGGGTGAAGATAATAATACTACCTACCTCAGGAGATTGTTGTAACAAATGAGATAACGTATGTAAAATGCTTAGAACAGTTCCAAGCACAATGTAAATACTCAATAAATATTAAGTGTTATAGTACTAATTCACAAATCTATTTTTAATAACAATAGGCAGGGTTGGTCTTATTATTTCTGCTTCAGTTGTAACCTTTTTTCTCTTTTATAATTTTTATGCAAATATTATTAAAGTAAGGTAGTTGGATTATTTCTAAAGTTACTCATCTTCCCAAACAAAAGAACATAAATGAAAGTAATACATCATTCTATAATTTACATGATTTTACTGGATCAGGGAATGCTAATTTGTGTCTTACAATCTGTTTTGCATCATTGAACAATTTATGCCGAGAAATAAAAAATATTCTACAACAGGCATAATCTCAACTATGTGTCATAAAACATACATACACACACATAAGAGTTATACTGATAACAGCCCTGCACGCATTTAACTTAATGATATGTTTCTGACAATGGTTCCAAGTACTTTATGCGCAGGTAAGTTTGTCGTTACACAAGCTATACATGGAGATTGTTGTTTTCCTCGACCTTGTTTATTTCCCTTACTACGATATCCTAAGGAAGTGACTATGTGGGATATGTATATTGGTATTCTCTTGACCTGCTGAATTTGCAGGGTCAGCAAACCCTTTCAGGAACTTTTAGATGGATCTACACAACTGCCTCTTCCTGCATGTCCCACAACTATGTCCAATTTACTTCTCTTCCACTTCTACCACCAAACAGCTTCTACACTTCATTTCCCCATCTCAGCATCACCATCCATCCGGTTGCTCTAACCAAAAACAGATTAATCTTGGAGTCTTCTCTTTCTCATCATTCAATCATCAGTTCTGTCCCCATCTGTCTTACATAATTATACCCCAAACTAAGCCCCAAACTATAACTTTACTTATCTTCCTCCAATCTATTTTCTGTGCTATTGTTTCTATGACTTGCTGTCACAGATCAGATGACCATTTCCTAACATCCTCCACTGGATGTTGGTAAAATGATTTCTTCTAGCTAAAAAACTCATTTGTTTGCTTGGATTACACTTATTCTCCAAAGTATCTGAAGATAAATTTAACCTTTTGATTCAAAAACTTCACATTTAAAACAAAAAAAATTCACATTTTAGTGAGTTATAAAACCATGATTTATATTACTCTAGTTTCAATGTTTTTATTAACAGAATTGTTTCTTTGGCTTCTTCTAATCTTGGTTTAAGTTAAAGGCTTTAGTTAAGTGATTTAATTCTTAATTATCAGAGACTAAGTGAAATTTATATATCAAAACCTCACATTTTAACTATTGGTTAAAATCTCTGTTCTCTTAATAGTCATCCCTAGGCAGAATATTGTGTTGCTATATGTGGATTGTAGAAAGAAAAAAGAAATGACAGGGAAGGTAGTGTCCATGAGTACACAAAAATATATAATAAACTGATAGAATTAGGTAGTGAAGATTTAAAGAATCACATCTTCATTCATCTGGTTGTGCTTCAAGCGCTTGGCCAAAGAAATTTGTTTCCTGTCTGTCTCTACTTGAAAAATTTTCTGTATATTTACAATTTCTCTCCAAGCCTTTATCAAAATTGTGAACAGATTTGAATTTCATTTTTTTTCTCCCACAATATATATATATTTTTAAATATTTATTTATTTTTGAGAGAGAGAGCATGAGCAGGGGAGGGGCAGAGAGAGGGAGGCAGAGGATCCAAAGCAGGCTCCATGCTGACAGCAGAGAGCCCAATGCGGGGCTCAGACTCACAAACCAAGAAATCATGGCCTGAGCTAAAGCCAGATGCTTAACCGACTGAGCCACCCAGGGGCCCCTCCTTCCACAGTATTGACCAAGAGACAAAATTTGACGGAAAAGGTAAGATGTAATGAGAAATCTATAAAGGAACTTATATATAAACACATTCTTCTACCAAATATTTGGCTTGTGTTATAAAGAAATCTCCTACCTGCTCTTCTCCGTGACTCCTGTATATATATATGCATAAACTGAAGGCCAAATAATTCCCGTTCCTCTTCTTCATCTATGCTTTCACTAGGAGGAAGTGTTACTTCCAATTTCAGTGGGTTGTCTCTGAAGTTGACAAACCTAGCAGTTCACCAAAAAACAGTATTTTTATAGGTGCCGTAGAAGTGAACATTTATTTCCCTAGCGAAAGATCAAATGATAATATGGTAAATTAAAAAAAAAAAAACGGTTTCAATAACCAGACATTATGGTGAGATGTGATAAATCCTAAGAATCTTTTAAGTTTCTTTTCTAGAAGGAAGAAACCCTAGCTTTAGACAACTTATTTTCAAAGCTTATAGAAGCAACTGTTAGTTCCTACCATATATTTAATGTGGAACAGTTCAACTTCCCAGAGCAATTCCAGGGCATCTCAAACATACAATTAATGCTATGAAATTAAAGTTTCTGTGTCTGTGTGTGTGTGTCTGTGTGTATTTTTTTTTTTTAACGTTTATTTATTTTTGAGAGATAGAGCATGAGCAGGGAAGGGGCAGAGAGAGGGAGACACAAAATCCAAAGCAGGCTCCAGACTCAGCTGTTAGCACAGAGCCTAACTCGGGGCTCAAATTCACAAACTGTGAGATCATGACCTGAGCAGAAGTTGGACACTCAACTGACTGAGCCACCCAGGCACCCCTTAGTTTCTGTATATTTTACAGACTTACTTGTGTCTTATTTATCATTGTATCTTCACCATCGATTACATGACCCAGTAGCTGCTGAATTGATGAATGAATGAATGAATGAATGAATAAATGAATGTATGAATGACTCTGTTTTGGAAATTGTAGGATTTGATGTGAATTCTCATGTCTTACATTGTCTGTTAGGAAATTAAATTTTGGAAGTAAGACACTTGAGGGAGTTCTGAGAGTAATTAACTTACATATTTACTCTATAACATGGTTACCTGTGTCCATAGTAGTCTTTTAGAAGGAAAATAAGCACTATTTTTATACCTTTTGCTTTTATTTGTAGATGAGGTTTGTTAGCAGTTGCAAAGCGATTTTCATAAAAATGTCACCAACCGAGGGTATTCCTTAAAGCTGATAATGCCAGTTTGACTTTTGTTTCAAGGATTCTTCCTTGAATAATTTTAACCAGTGTTATATGAATCCTACTTATGTAATTATAGAATTTCAAAGTTGGAAAAGATTTTTAAATATATTCATTCATATGAATGAGAACTCAAATCAATTCATAAAATTGCTCTATATTACTTTGTTCTGCAACCAGAAAGGAACATGTCTCTTTTGGGTCTACAACTTTTACCTCAGATTGGTCATCTCTTCCATGCACACTGGAATATCTTGCAGTTTATTGTTGCTGAGAACAAGAGTACCCAGGTTTTTCATGTTGCTGATTGTTTCTGGCAAGCATGTTATTTCATTCCGTTGCAGCCATAATGTATGTAGAGTTTGCATTCTGATGAATTAAAAGAGGTTTCTGTGATTAATCCATACATAATATGAAAACCCTGATTCTTAACCTAAAATCAAAGAAAGGTAATCTTTTATAACATCTCCTTTAACCAGTATATCAGTTAACTGGTTTCACATTACCTGATTAGGGAAACTGCATCAGAGACAATCCCTACACTACAGTTCTCAGCATGTGGTGGTAGAAGAGAAACCAATGTATTTTAGTGAATTCTTCACTATTTGCATAGGATTCCTTAAAGAACTGCTGTAAATGTTATCTAATCTGAATTAGAGTGTTAGGAGAAAAATCAGAAATTATTAATATGCCCAGTTAGGGCAAGACAAGTATGCATAACAGACTCTGGGCCAGGCTGCCTACATTCAAAACCTAGACTGCACACTTACACTGTGATCTTGAGCAATTTAACATCTCCACATGAGTTTCCTCACACATTCGTAAAGTGCACAGAGTGCCTGGCATGCACTAAATAATGTTATTGTTTGGCATATTCATGTCAATATGGTCGCGTCAGATAGCCGGTTTTTCTCTCCCCAAACCCTTAGGCTTATTTAAGTAAATGAAAATATTCTGTTAAAAAGTAGCATATTAGTACTACATGGATCTATTGTGATTGATTAGGTAGGGTCCCCTTTGTTTTGTCTATTATTTCTTATTTATTACAGATGGCTTCAACACATCCAATAGCATAGAAAATTATTTATTTTACCTTTCTATAGTATCAGGAAGTTGTTCAAGTCTGTTGCTTCCCATGTCGAGCCACTCAAGAGCAGGCATGTTCAACACAGCAGGAGGGATTGTAGTAAAGTGATTCATACTCAGATCAAGGTGAGTAAGCTTTAACAAATTGCTAAGCTGAAGAGGAAAGCAAAATTTTTCAAAGTGAATGTCCACAACATAAAGTACTAGAACACTCACATTGCTAAAGGAGATACTTCACATCAAGGAATGTTCAGATTACACTTGGGCTTTATTTAGTCCTAGTAGTCCACAATAAAATAAATTAATTTTGAAATAAAAATAAAGCTAAATAACCTCCAGTTAAATTAAAAACTTGTATAGAAAGTTCATCTATTCCAAGAAAACTTATCTTCCAAATACCCAAGTTCCAGGGTTTGCAGAACCTGCTTGTGTTTTCCTTTCATCCTGTATCTGAGATTTGTATGGGAAAACCCAAGCTTCAAAATATTATTATCTTTATTGAGCCTTCTTTTTTGTGCCTGATGCTTTACATGCGTTATCTCAATCACAGGATTTACCGTTTGGTAATTCTATTTTTTAAATGAAAAACATCAATAAAAATGTATTAAGAATAATATGTCAAACACCAGCATGCTCAGCTTAAGAAAAAAATAGGTGCCTGGGTGGCTCAGTCAGTTAAGCGACTGACTCTTGATTTCAGCTGAGGTCATGATCCCGCTGGTTCATGAGATTGAGCCTAGCATCAGTCTCCATGCTGTTGGCACGGAGCTTGCACGGGATTCTCTCTCATCTTTGCCCCTCCCCCTGCACGTGCACGCTCTCTCTCTCAAACTTAAAAATATATATATATTGATATGACTGCCTCCTATGTACTCCTCCCTTCTTCCTTTCCAGAGGGAACCCCTCTCCTGAATTTGGTATTTAAAATTCCTGCATATGTTTTTTTGTTACTATACACAAATATGTTTTCTATATATTTCTCTATAATTACTATTATATATGTTTTTACAAAGTTTAATATTTTTATTTGAAGATTTTGATAGTGTACTTCTCTTTAACTTGCCTTTTTCTCTCAACATCAGTGTCTCAATGTATTCATGGATGCTTATAGCACTAGTTTATTCATCAGCTTTATAAGATGAATATCATATTTCTATTTTATGGACAAAATGGGTGAGAGAGGCCATGCAACTGGAAATGATGGGTGATGTGCACTCAAGTTTTCATGGACCAAAGGCCACAAACCTCTTGCCATATAACCCTGTAGTGAAAGTTTCAAAATGTGAGTAAAAATTTAGTTAACTTTTCCAAAAAACTTTCCATTTATCTAGGCAAGTTCTGTTTTATTTTTATCTCCGGGAATGTTGAGATTCCTTCCACAATTTTAACACCAAAAAAAAAAAAAAAAAAAAAAAAAAAAAAAAAACCCAAAACAAAATGAAACACATACATACCCAGTGTTTTGTGGGTAATGCAAAAAAAGCAGGAAGTTTCCATTTAGGAGGTGATGTTTCTCTGGCTTTAGAATTCAAGCCATGGACAAAACACTTTTTCAAAATCACACCTTTAAAATTTTTCAAACGGTTTAGAATGGAGTATAAAAAGATTGTTTTTACACTGGCATAAATATGTTTTGTGTGTATACATGTATGCAGTGTAATGGCTGAGAGAGAAGTCTCCTGTTGCTGATTTCTCAGTGATACTAGAACCCTTTGATTTTATCATATTAAAAATGTTATTATCATCTGACAGTCTCTATTTTGCATATGTGAACATTGAGACCTAGTTATATAAAGTGGTGTGTTTGAGGCTACACAGCTACTTAGAGGCCACACTTGGAAATAATCCCAGGCTCAAATCTTACTTTAGTATTAGTTCCAATAAAACCTATTTCTTATGTGAAAAAATTAAGGTAAACACAGGTTAACAGACATGTCCAAATTCATACAGCATTTTAAATGATTGAACCAATCCCAGAAAGAAAATCACAAGAGTTAGAAATAAAATATTTATTGGCCCTCTTATAAGTATAAATTGTCCCTGTGATCATCATTTTTATCATAAGCAAGTGCATACATTTCATTAACTTGAACTGTTGTAAGATGAAGTAGATATAAATGTAGAAATTGTGTTTTACTTGCCAGAGTGATAATTATTGGTGACATATTTACTGCTCTGGGGAAAAGTGATATTCTCACCAAAAATAGTGAGTGGAGAATGGAAAAAGGGAATAGTCTTTCTACTTTGAGTTTTATTATTTTCCTTAAGTTTATTTTGCAAAGTTAGAACACCTTGGAAATTTCTTTGCTGATTGTAAGATCATTAAATATGTTTGAAGTATGTTTGAAAGCGTCTATATCTCTATGACCAGTTTGGCTTTACTAATAACAAGGTTATCATACCAAAGCAAAGTCTGAAGGCTTTCCAAACCCATTGCCTTGCTTTTACTTGGTAGAGCCAAAGAAGCTAGCAAAGAAACACTTCCTAAACTGAAGAATTCATTTCTTACCACTTCAGCTGTATCTCAAAAAAGGAACACTGTATAAACACCAACTAGTAAACAAAAGAGCTTTTCCATCACCACATTGTGCTTTATAATAACCATTTATTCATCCAATAAGCATTTACTAAGTAACAACTACAAGCTAGCCTGGGCCTTCAATAGGAAATAGAAATAAAAAAGACTCTTTGCTCTGGCCTTTTAGGAGATCACAAATGATGTCAGTACTGTGACAATATTTATGCTAAATAGATACTTCTCTAAAAATGTTATAGTAACAGGAAACGATTACCACTAAATATTTTCTGAAATAAAATGTATAGCATTTCTTCATTAGTGTTATTTTTAATGATCACACAATTAAGAAGTAAACCAGTAGTAGACAGAGAATAAAATCATAGGCATTTATATCTTTCTGACCTCTTGTGGAAGATCACATATATCTCTGTTTACAGCAAGTTCTAGTTTCTCCAAGCTTGCACAATGACTTAGTTCCCTGGGGACAGTCTTGATTTTGTTGTAACTAAGAATCAGCTCCTGAAGTTTAGTGAGCAGTCCTACAAAAAATAATACACAATAGAGAGCAGATAGATATAAAACAATGTTTCCAGTTATGAAGTATTATAGCATAACTTACTTGTCAGTTTCGTATTGGCAAATTCACACTTCTTTTCCCAGTATGTGTCCTGCCTCTTCTAAAGATGAAGAGCAGGTTTATCAGTGCTATAAGCAAAAAATACATGTTTTTTTTTTTTTCCATTTTGCTTTATCTACACTATATCCTGGTCAATTTTCCATTTGGGGATTGTTTTTTTCTCATCTAAGGAATCTTTCTAATTTTCTCTCTTGCCTTCAATCTATTCTCTTCTAGGAGGATTAGCTGAACAAGAAATATCATTTCCAGAATCTATACAATAATATTTCCAAAGAGACTTTTCTTGCATTGAATTCTCATCTTAAATCACCTCAGTAAATCCTAGATGCTTGGATCCCCTGGAACCTTCAATTTAGATGTTTATAATTTCCTCAAGGCTCGGGGCTATGTAAAGATGAGGTCTTTACTCCATGTATAAAAAAAAAAAAATTCTCAGTAAAAAACAGAAAGTAAAGCAATCTTCCTTACCAATTCCTCGAGGTATCTCTGAAATTGTGTTTCGAGATAAATCTAATACAATGAGGTTCTGAAATCTTCCAATGAATTCAGGAATTTTCAACAAACCAGTTCTATGAAGTTGCCATTCCTGCAGCTGACTCAGTTTCAGTAGAGAAGAAGGGAGGGTCTAAACTCAAGTAAAAGAAATGACAGAATTACTATATTACTTAAATTATTTTAGTATCATGTCACACTGGAGTATAATTGTAGAGAGATTGATTTGTAAAAGAACTTTCCTTACAAATTTTCCTAAATGGTTGTATTTCCAAGTGCTTTGTGTTACTTCTAAGTTTTAAGACCTTTACTTTGGGAGTGGGGGTGCTAAACCTTGGCGCTCCAATCAGAATAAACAAAAAGAATGTATTTTGGCCAATAGCGTACATACATAGAGCTATGCTCTAAAGATGTTGTTGTTTTAGGCTTTTTTAAGAGTACACATATGCAGTTGAAATGAGAATATGATGGTTAGTTGAAATCATAGAGAAACCAAAAAATCATTTTAATCAATAATTCAAACTTCTCTTCCCCTTCTTATTTAAAAAAAATTTTCATGTTTATTTATTTTTGAGAGAGAGAAAGAGAGAGTGAGCAGGGGAGGGGCAGAGAGAGAGGGAGACACAGAATCCCAAGCAGGCTCCTGGCCCCAAGCTGTCAGCTTGTCGTGGCTCAAATCCACAAACTGCGAGATCATGACCTGAGCAACACCCAACTGACTGAGTCACCCAGGCGCCCCTCTTCCCCTTCTGTTTTGAAATATTTTATAAAAGGTTTTTACAGATTTTTTTTAATTTAAAGATTTTAAGAGTTTCAACTATTCTGAACTCTTTGCCTTTTCTCTTTCAACCTAAAGTACCCAAAAGGGAAAATAAAGGACCTACACCCTTAGCTAATCATACCTATATGTATGAACATAAACACTGACCCAAGGGATAGAGGCCCTTACAAAAATTAGAGTGTGCCTAATGTAATTAAGCAAGTGTGTGTGTGTGTGTGTGTGTGTGTGTTTATGAGAGAATATGAACTGGGTGGTAGACCTCGAAAAAAAATGAATATTCTGTTCCATTTTGTGGGTTTTAGCTGAGCATTTATTTTGGAAAAGCTGTATGATTTTTGTTAAGCAAATGGTCATCTTTTTATGGAAAATGAGAAATTGCTTATTAGTAGGATTAGTAGGAGAAAAATTGCAAATGACCTAAATTTAGACAGAGTTTCAGCAAATTGAATTTTTACCAAAAAAAAAAAAAAAAGTGAAGTTATATTTCTTTTCAGTTCGTGTTGCCCCAATTCATTTGGTGTATTATTAAAATGAGAATTCTAACTATTCCAGACTTAATCACACAGTCTCAGAATCATTTTCTCAACTCTCCCATAAAATGCAAAATATAGAAAATCAAATAGTACTTGTATGAAGCTAACCTTCCATTCTTCTTTTTCTATCTTCAAAATGACTCTTCCATCTTCTCTGATGACCTTTTCCCTTAGTTTGGTTAAGCTTACTCGTTCTTCCCAGATTCGCACTAGCCTAAGAGACCAGAAAACATTTTAGTTGACCCATAATGACACAGGTAGCATTCACTTTTATGTAAAAAGTGACCCATCAAAACAACCACTTGACTAGTAGTATCTGGAAATCAAAAAAAGGATTCATTTTGCAAGAATTATAAATATGATTACTTTCATAAATGCCCTATATTTAAGTTTTTGAAAAGTGTCACAATGCTCCATAGATTTTTTTTTTAATAACAGCTTTATTGAGCTATAATTCACATACCATAAAATCAACGCTTTTAAAGTATGCAATTCAATGGTTTTGGATATATTCACAGAGTTGTTCACCAACACCACTCTCTGATCCAAAACATTTTCATCACTCAAAAAACTCTATACCCAAGGCTAACTGGTGCAGCCACTCTGGAAAACAGTATGGAGGGTCCTCAAAAAATTAAAAATAGAACTATCCCATGATCCAGCAATTGTACTACTAAGTATTTACTCAAATAATGCAAAAGTACTAACTCAAAAGGTAGCATTATGTTCTATAGCCAAATTTTGGAAACAGCCCAATTGTTCCTCAACTGATGAATGGATAAAGAAGGAAATATTAGCCATAAAAAAGAGTGAAATCTTGCCATTTGCAATGATATGGATGGAGCTAGAGAATATTATGCTAATGTGCTAATGAGAAAGAAACACCACATGATTTCAGTCATGGAATTTAAGAAATAACTGAGCAAAGGCTCCTGGGTGGTTCAGTGGGTTAGGTGTGAGATTGAGCCCCATGTCAGGCTCTGCACCTGCAGTGGGATTCTCTTTCTCTACCTCCCTTCTCTACCTCTCTGCCCCTCCCTGCTCATGCTCTCTCCCTCTCAAAATAAATTTAAAAAAAAAGAGAGGGAGAGAGAGACTGCTAAAACACTTTTAAACAAAGAAATGAACAAAGGGGGAAAAAAAAGAGACAAACCAAGAAACAGAGTTTTTAATTATAGAAAACAAACATGGCTACCAGAGGGAAGGTGCATGGGGGGATGGGTTAATTAGGTGATGGGGATTAAGGAGTGCACTTGCTGAGATGAGCACCGGGTGTTGCATGAACTGTTGAATCACTATATTGTACACCTGAAACTAATATTACACTGCATATTAAGTGGAATTTAAATTAAAACAAATTAAAAAACAACAACAAAAAACCTCCACACCCATTAGCAGTCACTCTCCATTCCTTCCTTCCTCAGCCCATGGCAACCACTAATCTACTTCCCATTTCTATGGGATTATACAATATTGTGGTCTTTCCACATAGCATAAGTTTATTCAAAGTTCACCTGTGCTGTAACATGTTTCAGTACTGTATTCCTTTTTATCGAAGAATAACATTCCACTGTTCTGTTGATCAGTTCGTCAGTTAATGGACATTTGGGTTAATTCTTCTCTTTGGCTATTATGAATAATGCTGCTATGAACATTTGTGAACAAGTTCTTGCGTAGATATATGTTTTCATTTATCTTGGGTACAGTTCTAGGAGTAGAATTGCTGCATCATATTATAATTCTACTTTGAACTTTTCTTAGGAACTGCCAAACTAGGTCCAAATTGCTAGTACCATTTTACCTTCCCTCCAGCAGCACATGAGGCTTCATGCCTTGCCATTCTTGCCTACATTTGTTATTGTCCATGTTTTTGATTATAGCCATCCTAGTGAGTGCAAAGTGGTATCTCATTGTTCTTTTGACTTGCATTTATTAAACATCTAATCCATAGATAGTTAATAACTTTTTAATGACTTGCAAATAATACAGTCCAACTTCAGAGTTAAGTTATATGTGATTACATTCCAATTTTATTCAGATTTTGTTTTTCAGAAATAAAAATGCACAAAACCTTCATCATTCTGGAATACATCCCTATTGATTTTTGGTACATTGCAAATATACATAACAATAATAGTAAGCTATGAAAATGACTAGTAAAAGGTTGCAAATGGTTTATTTCTATACCAGAAAATTTTTATATTCAATTACATCACTTTTCTAAAAATTAGAACTATTCAAACAGTAAGCATGATGATTGCTAACTACTTGATACTCACTAAGAGATCTATGTATTTCAGAACAAGATTTAATGACAAGTGTAATCAGGTGTCTTGTTCCCCAACCTTTTACTTAAAGAACTCATTGAGCAACCATTATATGCCAAATGCGACGCTGCACATTGTGCATGCAGAAAGCTCCGTCCTTAATGAGTTTACAGTGAGGCTATTATTCAACAAGTCTATTTCCATCTCTACAATGATTCCTAAGTTATTTCTGGATCTGAATTTCTATGATCTAAGTCCAGAATGTATCACTTAATTTGGTGACCGTGGACAACACATACCACCTCTGTGGGCTTTGCCTATAAAAATGGGGTTTCAATTAAATAATGTCTAAGTTCCCTTCCAGCTCTGGTATTCTATAATTCATCCACTGCTTAATTCAAGCTTGATGTTCTTTCAATTTTACATAGAAATTTTCTACCTCCTATGAAACTCTTTTATCATAGTCTAAAGACTTTCCCAGATTTTGTCACACCAACACTTTCCTAAATGCTTGATTTCCTCAAGGCAGCTTGGCATCAAAAGACAATGAGGTCAATTTCTGTTTAAACTTGATGCTTTTTGAACTAAATCTTTAGCCACCTTTAGCTTAGAGAAGAAGCATTAGATTACATTCCTTTTTTAAAATTTTTGTAATGTTTTTATTTATTTTTGAGACAGAACATGAGTGGGGGAGGGGCAGAGAGAGAGGGAGACACAGAATCCGAAGCAGGCTCCAGGCTCCAAGCTGTCAGCAAGGAGCCTGACGCGGGGCTCGAATTCACAGACCGTGAGATCATGACCTGAGCAGAAGTCAGAAGCTCAACCGACTGAGCCACCCAGGGGCCCCAGCATTAGATTACACTCTTAATCATTTTACCCCTTGTCTGTTTTGCACAGAAAGAACTTGAAGCTACTAAAATTAAATGGTTCTTAACTAAACACGTATGATAGGTGACATTCAGGAGTTTAGAAGCAAGTCACGATTCCCGCCCACTGTTTTAAAAAAGGAAATGATGGGGCGCCTGGGTGGCTCAGTCGGTTGAGCGTCCGACTTCGACTCAGGTCACGATCCCGCAGTCCGTGAGTTCGAGCCCCACGTCAGGCTCTGGGCTGATGGCTCGGAGCCTGGAGCCTGCTTCTGATTCTGTGTCTCCCTCTCTCTCTGACCCTCCCCCGTTCATGCTCTGTCTCTCTCTGTCTCAAAAATAAATAAACGTTAAAAAAAATTAAAAAATTAAAAAAAAAATAAAAAAGGAAATGATTTGTTAAGAATACTCTAGAGTTGGGGCTCCTGATGGCTCAGTTGGTTGAGTATCTGACTCCTGATCCCGGTTCAGGTCATGATCTCATGGCATGTCAGATCAATCCCTACATCGGGCTCTGTGCTGACAGCAAGGAACCTGCATGGGATTCTCTCTCTGTCTCTCTCTGTCTCTCTCTCTCTCTCTCTCTCTCTGCCCCTCCCCTGCTCATTCACTCTTGTTCTCTCTCTCTCAAAATCAATCAATCAATTAAAAAAAAAAAAAAAAGAGTACTCTTGGGGCACCTGAGTGGCTCAGTCAGCTAAGTTACTGACTCTTGATTTCAGCTCAGGTCATGATCTCATGGTTCATGGGTCCGAGCCACATATTGGGCTCTGTGCTGACAGTGTAGAGCCTGCTTGGGATTCTTGCTCTCTCCTTCTCTTTCTGCTCCTTCCCTGCTGGTGCTCTCACTTTCTTGAAATAAATAAACTTAAAAAAAATTTTTAAAGAGTACTCTAAAGTCAAGTTTATCATAATTGTAGAATACAAATATAATGGGTTTCATAAGAGTAGCTTTATATATAAAGGGCCAATCTAGGGAGATGTAAGACCTGAGGTGAATATCATGCTTCCTGAGTCAGATTGCTTGAGTATGAATACCAGTTCTGCATTTATTAGCATTGTGTTCTTTGAATTAGGCCTATCTCTCAGGTTTTCTGTCTCTTTAAAAGGGAGAAAATGAACACTCATGTGTGGCAGAGACTGCTTGTCATTCCCCTGTATCTGTTACTCCTCTTCTTCCTCAATAGTAGATGCTCTAAATTCAACTGGGCACAAGACTTCATTTAGCCATCCTTCCTTGTAGTTAGATATGTATCGTATCAATGGATGTTAGCAGAAGTAGTAGTGTGTGCCACTTCCTGCTAGCTGGAATCAAACATGTTGGCTGAGGTTGGTGAATCTATTTGGGGCCATTGGGTGACATCCATTCCATTAGGAATGGACGTCATGCACAGTTGAGCAACAAGATAAAAGCCTGACCGTGGGCAACACAGACCATCTGACTCAGTGGAGTGCTATTCCAGCCATAGATCAAGTACCAGGAAAAGTTAACATGTCTTGTGTAGAAAATATTATTTTGGTTTTCCATCTCTCATGATGCAATATAATCCTCATCAAGACACTGTTTCAGTATGTTGAGAGGATTAAATGAGATAGTACAGATAAAACATTTAGCAGAGTACTTAGTAAACAGTAAGTGCACAACAAACGGCTGCTACCTCATCATTGTCAGCATCATTATTCTCTTGACTGGCTTTGGTTGGGAAGAGTGGCCCTTCCCCAGCCGAATTTTTGTTTTTACAGATAGCGGACACAAAATAGTTGCTTATCAAGAACGTACCTTTCCCCCTCTTCTTTGGTGGGAGAATAGCTGTTATTTTCAAGTACTTATACTTCCCCCAAGTAACCCAGGTATAAATCTTAATTTATATAAACCAATCACATAGTCTCAGTCTCCTAGAAGGGAACTGCATTAGGGGAGTACAAATTACCCAGTTCTGGTCAATGAGAGGTGAAGGAGAGGTTTGCTAAAACACCTCAGAAAGGCTTCCTCATTCTTGAAGAAACAGAAATAGTTTCCACTCTTCTGATAACATAATGAGGTCTGGCTCTGATGCCTGGAAGTACACCAGTCATTCTGTGACACTGAGGGAGGCTACCCTAAGAACCAAACTGAGACACTGAGATTACCAGTAGGAGGTGATAAAAAGAAGCTGAATCTCTAAAGCTGTTAAAGCTTTGGAACTGCCTTGCCTCAGGACTTCCCTATTCCTTAAGCCGTTTTTAGTTGAATTTTATGGTATTTGCTAACTGACACAAGAGCATTTTTTCCACTGAAATATAATTGTCATATAACATTGTATTAGTGGCAGGTGTACAACATAATGGCCCAGTATCTGTACATATTGCAAGACAAAAGACAATTTAATATTTATAAAGAGACCTAGTGAATGATAATTGTAGGGATGATGAGGAAAGTGGGTATTCTTGCAAGATTAGAATGAATACTTTGGAGACATCCAATCAGAAAAGTGAGCAGATATCAAGAAGGCAAAGGAAATCAGAGCCAAATTATTTAAGTGCAGCCCAAATCAAGGAATCAGGTGATCCACAGGGAACCTGGCTGAAACTCACTGCTATTCAAATAGGTGAGAATCTATACTACCTAGCTTTGCTAGATGCTGTTTTAGTACCTAGGGACTATTATACTGAACAAGCCATCAGTGAAAAGTAGACTAAATGATACTAATCAAACTATGATGAATGTTGACCAGATTCCTATGAGGGCCCAAGATAACTATTTTTTTTAATGTTTATTTATTTTGAGAGAGAGAAACAGAGAGAGGGAGAGTGCCAGCAGGGGAGGGGCAGAGAGAGGGAGGGAGAGAGAATCCCAAGCAGGGTCTGCACTGACAGTGCAGAGCCCGACACGGGACTGGATCTCATGAACTGGGAGATCATGACATGAGCCTAAATCAAGAGCCAGATGCTTAAACGACTGAGCCACCTGGTGCCCCAACCCAGACAGTCGGGTTTTTTGTGGCCACCATCACATAGTCACACTTAATTGAGTCAGGGATATCCCTGTAGTTATATTTTGACTTTTCAGTAAATAAAAATCTCTATCAAATTCAACAATAAGGCACTTAATAAGTGCTCTTTTCTAGAATGATGATGTTCTGAATTTTCACTAATTCAAAATAATAAACATGTTAAAGCATACTTCTGTTGAAATTCCTTCTCTCGCTTCAGGTCTTCATTGTGTTTCTTTATTCTTTCTTCCCAAACTTCCTTTACAGCATTGACAGCTCCAGTACAAACCACATTTTCTGACATGATTTCTCCACATTGTCACAGAGTCACCAACTTCATTAGGTTCTGAATAGCTGAATCACAGATGCCATCTCAAAAAGGACCTAATTGTTCCAGAGGGGGAAAAAAGAATGTGTTTCAGAACATTCAGAAAGTTCCAAAATGATCCCAGTAGCATATATTTATTGAACACTTTCCATGTTCCCAAAATTATTTATACACTTTACATATCATGTCTCATTTAATAATCCTCATAAAAATCCTATGACATGGGTGCTTTCATTGTCTGTAATATACAGATGAGAGAACTGAGCCTTGAAGATGGGCAATTTGTTCAAGGTCTCATATCTAATATGTGGCAGAGGTGGGAATTGAAGCCAAGTCAACTTCCTTTGTTACTATGTAATTTGCAATAATGAAAAACTGCAACTAGTTTACATGCCCAGTTATATGAAAATGGCTAAGTAACAGATTTATAAATTTAAGACCAGCGTCTTGGGATATCTACTTAATCTAGATGCTATAGGCACAGGCGGGAATTCAGTTAAGTGGCATTATACTAGGATTACTGGCTCTTCTAAAATAAATTGCAAAGGGATAGATGTAATATTGAGGATTGTGACCTAAATCTCAGAAAGGAAAGGAAAATAAAAATAGGGGATTGGTTATGTAAATTATGGTAGATTCATTTGATGGAATATTCTTTGCCTTACAAATAATTGTATTGATTTTTTCTTCAAATTGCATTAGCAATAGTGAAAGAACATGATCCACAATTAATCATTTCCTTCCAAATTCAGGAAGTCAAAGATGTCCACAATCACAACTATTCAACATTTACTGGAATGCTGTAAGGCAAAAGAAGCAAATAGAAACGTATAAAGTTTGGAAAGGAAGAGGTGAAATATGCAACAGTGTAGGGGGACAGGTACTTTTATACACTAAAGGTGGCCATATTTGTTATTCTCTGTGGAGAGAAATTCGGTCATATCTATCAGTCTTACAAATGCACATTCACATTCATAAGAATTTGTACTGCAAATATTTTCAATTGTAAAATCACATATTATAAAGTTATTCACTTCAGTGTTTTTCATAAAAGCAAAAGATTGGAAGCAATAGAACGTTTAATCAATAAATTATAGTACATCCATATCATGGGAAATATATAGCTCCATAAAGGAAGTAGAACATTTTATATACTGATGGAAGCCATGATCTCCAAAATGTATGACTATGCCATGATTTAATTTTTCCATCCCAATGAATATGGATATTTGGGTACCAGAGTTTTGCTATTATGAGCAATATTTTCCCCAAATTCTTCTCCTTATCTTCATGGTGCTCAAGTGGGTATTGCTTCTATTGGGTATACACCTAGGACTTGAACTGCTGGATCATAGTCAATGTGCATGTTCAAATTTATGAGATAGAGCCAAATTGTTTTCCAAAGTGACTGTGCCCATTTATACTCTTACTACAACTATACAAGGTTTCCATTGATGTACATCCTCACCAACACACTGCTGTATAAAATCTCATTATGGTCATAATTTATACTTCCCTGACTACTAAATGCCATAGTTTAACATATAAAGATTGTCCAATTAAATAAAATACAAAATCCTGTGTATTATTTATAAGAGGCACACCTAACATAAAAATAGGAAAAAATGGAAAGTGTAACATAGAAAAAGATCCACGCCTAGATTTATACCCAAGTGAAATGAAAACATATGCTCACAGAGAAACTTGCACACGAATGTTGAAGTTGCATTATTCACAATAGCCAAAAAGTGGAAACAAATGGCTGTCAACTGACAATGGATAAACAAAATGTGGTATATGCATACAATGGAATATTATTCTCCCGAAAAAGGAATAAGTTCTGATACATGCTACATTGTAGACGAACTTTGAATGAAAGTATACTAAGTGAAAGAAACCAGACACAGAAGACCATGTATATGGGATCCATAGAGAAAAGAAAAAAAGTAGATTAGTTATATTCAGGGGCTTTTCAGAGGGGGAAATGGGGAGTGACTTCTAAGGGTACAAAGTTTCTTCTCTGAGTGATAGAAATCAACTTTTGAAATAAATCAACCCATGACAAAGCAAAGAAGACATGTTTACATCTAAAGAGCAGAATGTAGTAAGTATAATACATCTTGAAAATATAAAAATAAGAATAAATGCTTTAACAGAATGTGAAAGAAGGAAATGGAGCTGTAGAGGAAAGAACACCAAAAGCCACATCTTCAAAGTGGGGAGTCATAGATACTGTCTCTATTTTATGGAATGAGAACTAGACTTAAGTATTTGTTTAAAGTTCTAAAGGTAATCAAGAGAGAATCTAAAACTAAGAGTATAACTCTAGAAGGGTGTAAGTGAATTTGAGCATCATCTTTCATAATGAAGTTCCGTAGATTATGCCTAAAGTTGATCAATAATAACCCCCCTTGAACAACAGGAACAAAGATGGTGACTACTGAAAACAAAATCCTGTCACTTCTAGAGTGACAGAAAAGGGGCAGAAAATACTGCTTTTCATTATTAATCTCCTCTAAATTATTAATTTCTTTAACAGTATGCAGTGCAAAAAAAAGGAAAACTATGCAATGTGAGAGAGAGACAGGGGTGGAAGAAAAACTCCATTACAGAGGAAAAAATGTTTACAATTTTAGGATGGATATATAATTGCCAATATTCAGCAAATTATTAGGAGAGGGTCCCTACTTTTAAGCAATGCCTGCACAATTAGCATAGGAACAGGTCGCAAGATCTTTTTGCCAGCAAGAAACCTTGGCATACAGGTGCCGCCTAATCCAAACCCGTAGGTACATCACAGTGAACCTACAATTTATTGTCTCAGATTTGAACAAGGTTGAAGTGTTTATCAAATAAGAAAACATTTTTTTATTTTTTTCAACGTTTATTTATTTTTGGGACAGAGAGAGACAGAGCATGAACGGGGGAGGGGCAGAGAGAGAGGGAGACACAGAATTGGAAACAGGCTCCAGGCTCTGAGCCATCAGCCCAGAGCCTGACGCGGGGCTCGAACCCACGGACCGCGAGATCGTGACCTGGCTGAAGTCGGACGCTTAACCGACTGCGCCACCCAGGCGCCCCAAGAAAACATTTTTTAAACTATCAAGTATCTACATGTGAATGTGTATTTTTTAAACATATTAACCACTCATATGCTAATTAGGTTTCTCAGTTTGCCATTAAACTTGATCCAGCCATCAGTTTTCCTTTACCCAGCAACCAGTTCCCCTTCGAGGAAAACAAGTCAGTAATAACATATGTATTTCTGCTGCTAGCATAGGATTGTGTTCCCTCCAATGACTACCATAACACAAAAGCGCATAGTATGGCAAGGACATAAACTGGGAGAGTCTGCTTTCTAAAGGCAAAAGAAAGCAAAACAAAAAACAAAACAACAAACAAAAACTAAACTAAAAAAAAAAATGCTTAACTTTTACAGAAATCCATCTTCCAGAGGAAGACAATTACATGAATGACTATGAGACCCCAAAAGAGACTTGTAAATTCAATTCCAAGTTCAGTTGTGCATTCCAGCAGATTCAGACCCAGTAAAGGCATCATCAGCAATCTATTTCCATGTGAAGAATAGGAAAGAAGTGTTTTGGAAAAATACTTACCACTGTCAGAGGACGCAGAAGCTGACATGCCCAAAGTTAGTGGTTATCAGCTGAAAGAGGATTTCAGGGAGAATTGTTTTCCATGTGGCTTCAGATGATTAAAATCCTCAGTCAGACTTGTAACCAAGTGAAATGTAATGTCAGCCTAGTTCTAATTTTAGATCTTGGACAAAGCTGAGAATAGCAAGAATCACATGGAGCTTCTGTGCAAAGGATCAAGTGATAACGTATGTGCATGCATTCTGTACACTGCAAAATGCTGTATATGGGGTGTTATAAAACTATCAGGTAGAACTATTTGTAAGCTGCAGATATAAAGAACTCCTATTGAAAGTCCTTCCATTTTTCATGACTTACACATTTTGAATATTTAATAGAATTTATCTGTTCCCAGCAGAGAAACTTGAAAACTTGAGAATGCACGGCACAACAAAAACCCTACGTGGTAAACGATAGATCTGTAAATATTTAAACTAAAGGTAAGTGCTTCAGAAAAGAAGAAAAGTAAAGATATAGAATAGTATGGGTAAAAGGGGAGCCCCAAGCGCCTGCTGCATCCAGGCTCAAATTTAATTCTCTCTCAACCTTTATCTCTTCAGCCTTCATAGGTAGGAGTTAATTCTGGGTTCTTTGAAAATAATTATGGGGGTGCCTGGGTGGTTCAGTCGGTTGAGCATCTGACTGTGGCTCAGGTCTTGAGCTCACAGTTTGTGAGGTCAAGCCCCACACTGGGTTCTCTGCTGACAGCACAAAGGCCACTTTGGATCTTCTGTCTCCCCTTCTCTCTGCCCCTCCCTGATTAGCATGCACGTGCGTTCTCTCTCTCAAAACCAAATAAACATTAAAAAAATATTTTTTGAGTTGGTAATATAAGCACATGGACCAAAATTCAAAAGATAATGAATCCTCACCTAAGCCCACCTCTAGCGATTTAGTTCTCTTCTCTGAAGGCAATCACTATGGCCACTTATTTGGGAGCCCTCCAAAGGTGGCCTGTGAAGTTACAAACATAAATATGCCTACATTCATGAAAAGCACACACACACATGCCATCACACACATACACACAAAATGCTAGCATACTATGTATATTTTTCTATACTGTGTTTTCTTCATTCAGAATATCTTGGAAATTGTTTCATATTAGTATAGAGTTATACCATCCTTTTATTTTATTTTATTTTTTTAATGTTTATTTATTTTTGAGACAGAGAGAGACAAAGCATGAACGGGGGAGGGTCAGAGAGAGGGAGACACAGAATCTGAAACGGGCTCCAGGCTCTGAGCTGTCAGCACAGAGCCCGACGCGGGGCTCGAACTCACAGACTGTGAGATCATGACCTGAGCCGAAGTCGGCCGCTCAACCGACTGAGCCACCCAGGCGCCCCATCCTTTTAAATGACTACATAGCATTCTGGTGTGTAGGTGGACCATCATTT